AACTTATTGAACAGTATTCTTTTGTTCCATTGTTCCAAGAATACTGTTCAATAAGTTACCAAACAAAGAATACTGTTCAGTAAGTTACCAAACGCTAAACGTTTTGCGTTAAGTACTGAGTAGTACATAATTTAAACACCTACACCTCTACCTTTCATTGTTGTTTTTGTTTGTTTCACAAAGCTAAACGTTTCGTACTAAATACTCATCAGTACACAAGTCAAACACTTACACATCTGCCTTTAAAAGACTCTGTGGAGGCACATATGCTGGGGCAGTTCAAGGGGCTTCAGCCAAACCCCCTATTTTTGTGATGTAAAAAAAATTATGCTTATATAATTATAGCGCAGCTGCTTATGGTATTTAACGTTTTGGATGTTTATGGATTTTACGTGAACAGCCACGCAATTGTTTAAGCTATATTTCATGCAAAATGGCTTCCAGATTTAATCTCATAACACTTATTTTTCTTACAGATTTTTCTGGTAGGACATGCTCCCAGACCCCAGTAGCATTATCATTGATTTAAAATGTTTCTATATAGAATACCTTTTTCTCAAAAAAACAAACAAAAAACCTTTTGACACAGCGTTATGTCAGCTAAGAACCTTTAGGATTCACATAGCTGTTTAGAAATGACTTTAATGAAGAAACTCTATTTAGAAGTCATAAGAAACTTGAAAGTTCAAGTAAGTGTTAGGTTTTTATGGAATGAACTTGTGAGTAACAAACTACCTGGTTAGATCAGTCTTGACAAATTTTTAATATCCACAGTGTTCTAAATGCTTTCTCCTTGAGAGGGTTTTTTTTTCCCCCTATGCAAAGATGCTTACCATGTAATTAGAAAATTTTATCTTTTTACACTTAGCGCCAATTATTTGCAATCCACGGTAATCACTGTTTCTGTTTGTTTGTTTTTCTACTTGAAGGTTATTAAGTGTCGAAAATATAACATCGATCAACAGCTGGAACAGCTTTAACAACTTCCCTTCTCACGGATAGTATCTGAACGGAAGTCGAGACCTATTAGGGATCATAAGCGTATGAATTATAGCTTTAAAACTCCTACCGGTAAGCTTTAAAATTTCACTTTGCAGTAATACAAGTGCTTGCCTCTCTAAACAGTGATTTTATTATATAGCTACGTTATCCATAAAAATACAGAAACAATAAAGTCAAAGGAGATTACGAAACTTACAGCGACACCTGTGTATTTCAAACTGTTACTAGAAGCTAACGACAGCAAAACTGATAATTTTGATATATATATATATAATACAAGTGCTTCTGTACGAACAATGCGACTGATGTAACTTAATTCATATGTAGCGATGTATATATAAAATTCGGAGGAAAGCTTTTGAAAAACGCACAGGAATGGAAAATGGTTGACTCACCAGGATTGTTCACCCACTCTTGTAATGCCTTCTGGAGACGCCGCACATGCAATGGTTTACTAGCCATCCCAACTAAAGCCATTATTTCCAAAAACTCCTCTTCCCCGGCCTCACAAAGCTGCTGGACATCGTCTCCACCTAGCCAAAGATATGTAGAACTGTTAATAGAGGATAGATGTTTTTACTTGGACAATACACCGTTATGCAACAAACAAAAACAACGATGAAAGGTAGACATGTATGTGTTTAAATTGTGTGATGGTGAGTACTTAACGCAAAACGTTTACCTTTATAAAACAAACAAAAACAACAACGAAAGATAGACGTGTAGGTGTTTAAATTGTGTACTGCGGAGTATTTAGTACAAAACGTTTATGAGAGCTTTATGAAAAACAACAATAACGAAATATAGACATGTAGGTGTTCAAATTGCCTCTCAAGCTGTAACTGTGTCAGCGAAATATGATTGATAATAGCTTAAATTATATTTTCCTTTAGAGAAAGGCCCGGCATGGCCAGATGGTTAGGGAGCTCGATTCGCAATCTGCAGGTCGCGGGTTCGAATCCTCGTCCCACCAAAACATGCTCGCCCTTTCAGCCGTGGGGGCGTTATAATGTGACGGTCAATCCCACTAT